GACCACCCTCAGAGCCAGTGAAATCGAGAACGTGTTCAAATTCACAAATCGATAATCAGTATGAATTCACTTTGTCAAGTGCGAAGAAAATAAGGTGACATTATGTTCTTAGATTTTCGCAAAAGCAGGATTTACTCAAGTGCACAGAAAAGCCAACAAAACTGACAAATTATCGGGCTTAAACGAGAAGTGACTTGCAGTTCATTGAAAATCTTTCACGCAGATTCTATTCCCAAGACAAAAAACTGGCTGAAACAAATATAAATTGTGGGATTGTGAAGGAAATAATCTGCACAAAGTGATCATAGCCATGCGTTTTCATCAGGAAATATTTATCAACAAAACAAAGAACAATAAAGTCACCTAAGTAAACACGTTTGATCAGTTTGACATTATGAAAATCTCAGCGGCAATCAACCGATCAGTGAAGCTATTTGGAAACAGGATAACGCAAAAAAGAATGAAAAGACTACAGAATAACTAATGCAAACAAAAATATTCAGTTACGAAAAGAAGATAAAACAAGCACAAATGGTTTCTAAATAGTAATGGATTGGTCAGTCTGTCTGCGGGATTGTGAAGATAGACACACAGATGAAATTGACGTAAAACCTTGCACACAACTGCATCGGTTTAAGTTGCCACACTTCACAGTAGTATGCACGGAAAACATTAATCGAAACAGAATGACATCAAGGTAGACAAGGCAGTGTCTAAGAGAATGAACAATCTGAAGATAATGGGCAGTGCAGATATTCAAGCTTAAGTCAACGTCAAGGAGTGAATACATCTGCGCCGTTATGACCAACTTCTAGCCATATCACTGGGAGTCCTCAACCACTGCTTCCTTTTGTTTCTGAGAACTTAACCAGGAAATCTGCATCTCCCTATATATACACGGCTGAGATCAACAGTAAGAAACTTCATTGACTGGTACCACTTCTTGGTGTGATCACTCTGAACCTTCTTCTAACCTAATCCAACTTCCCATAGCATGGTACTTTGAGGTGGGCGTTGGTCCCCCATATGCAACACGTGTCTAAGCCATCTTAATCGACTAAGCTTCGAAACCTTATCAATAGGCTTATCTGGCTTAACTAGTACCCTTCTCCCGACCTCAATATTACTCAAATTATGATTCCTTCAAACGCGAGCAATCCTCCGAAGATATCTGTGATCAAAACTCTGAAATCACCTCATATCTCCTACTTGGAGTGACCAAATCTCACAGTCGAATTGTGAAAGGGGGCCATAAACATCAACTGTTTGTGAAAAGTACTATTCTTGTCCTCAAAGCAGTCGGACAATACCAATAATAAGTCTGATCAAGAAAGTGCAGGGATTTCATTACATACAATATCAAGAACTGTAAGAAAGTTTTTAAAAGTCTGATATTCAAATGAAGCAACAATCAAGAGATATATAAACAATGACTCAGTCCACAGTATACTTAGAAGGGTAGCAACTGTTCACCAGCCAACTGAAAACCAATCAAGCAAACAGAAAACGACAAGGAGCAAAACCGCACTTCAACAAAGACTACTTTGTTGTTTAACCAAATAAGATTCAAGTTAAAGAGGTTAATATTTGGCAAAACCTTCCTGTCTAACTTACAAATGACTTCAAGCTCATGTCAACGGAGAAACTACTTGGACATTCATGTAACCTGTTAACATCGCTCGCTTCTCTGTTAAGTTGGTGTTGAATATGCTGCCAAACCTAGTAATGAAACATCCATGACGAGATACGAAGGATTAGAAAACACCAAATAATTCCTACCATTTCGTGTTACAAACATGATCTATTACGCCATATCTTCCCTTCTTATACGTTTGCTGAAGATTTTGCTTTTTCCCGTAATGGAATAGAACTGGGATAAAACCTGACAGCGTTACAAAGCTTTGGAATTAAAGCGTCTACCTTCGATACCAGGAAATCATCATAAATATCCACCTAAGCTAAAAGATGAAAAGATGCAAAGATAGGTATATTATTCTTTCATTTGTTTTCACTGAAAGTATCAAACTCCAAGCACTTTCAACCCTAAACTGTTCACAGTCAAAATCAAAGTTAATACCGTAGAATCATGTATCTGTTAGCTGGATCAGTAGACCATTTTTCCAGAAGTCTGACTCCAAAAGTCAGTTGGCACATTACACTGATAAAGACACTAGTGTATGTTTGCATACTGAATAGGAATTTGTTGGCAATTGAAACAGGGAAGTGAGATATCAGTTGTTAGAAGTAAAGCAATGCTGAGAAGTTTCACCCTTAAGACCATATTGCCTTTAAATTCAACTGTAGAATCAAAAACTAAAGTCATATGACATAATACGGAGAGATAGGTTCAAATGTTGATGGAAACTAAAGTTTGTGTGTGTTTTGAAGCCTTTCACTTCTATGAGTAACTAGTATCAGTGGTTCATCTCTCTGCTAAACAAATTCGACAACCTATTAGTCATCATTGAAGTCTACGTTGTCTAAATGAGCAGTCTTGAGTGAAAGATGCATAGACACGAAGTGGGTGCAAGTAGTGAGCTCAAAATGTGGATAGCGAAATAACTGTTTTCACTACAGATATAGGAAATAATAATAAGAATATTTTAAGAATAGAATGCATAACTAATGAAAGTCTGAGTAGATCACCTTTACTTACTGACATTACATTTGAGGTTGAAATGTTTAAGATAAACACAGTCTCCTTCATGATATGCCCAAATGCCATGAAAGTGAAGATCAGATATACCCATAATGTGACAGCGGACTATCTTGCCTAGGAGGTTTAATTAAGTCTTCTCCATCAATCATACACACTGTCATCATAATAGACTTCAAAAGAGAATCTAGAAATCCTAATAAACCTTTTATCAAGATTTTGAACATCATAACTCAAGTACTTGTTTGGATTTAATTTTTTAAAAAGTCTCTGGCATTGCGACTGTAAAATATGGTGAAAAGCAATAATCTTGAGGAGTCAAAGTGGCTTTATTTCACGATTTATTCTGTTTCCACGAAATATTTCAAATTTTGGAATGGTATAGAATGATTATAAAGACCGGTTTTCGATCATTTCATTACTGAAGCAGCTTCGCATGTTGAGATTGAATTATTCTCTGAAATAGAGTATTAGTTGACAAAGGTTTCATTGCCATGCTAGGCATCGTTATTGGTGCATCAAAGCTTCAAAAGGAAATGACTTTGAATTTTTCAGACACCAAGAATTTCTCCAACATGATAAGAGAGTTTGACCGATTAATATGAGGGAAATCATGTCTTATACCAGCCCCTGCCTACTGAATGCTTATAAAAATATAACACTGAGTTCTCCTTCAAAATGATTAATCTCAGTTTATGAACTATTTGAACAAACTATTGGCAGGAATAACCATTGACTACTGTTATAGGAAGTATTCTGACTCCGAAGACTGCCTAACCACATCCATCTCTAGCTTTCACTGGATAATTCTAACTGAATTACCGCTAATCACACAACAAACTCCTGCCTTATTTCTCTGGGAGTTACTTATATAAACTGTCATTGTTTCACGTCTGCTGCTTAAACATTCTCAATCGCGTATATCTTTTATTGCGATTAATACTGTTTTGCTCCAGATAAACAATGGTGACTCAAGTAAGTTCCTACTACAATAACCTAATATTAAATAGTTCTTTGAGTCACTTCTAGGATTTTATCACCTGCTATTCCTCAAGCATTTTCAACCGGTACAAGTTGTATTTATTCCTAGGTGGTTGTAAGTGATTGGTTGTAAGCCCTGAACCAAAGCTTCGTGTTTGACTACACTCATCTGCAAGCAGGGCATTGTGACGATCTTTTCTCAACATGTAACATCAAATATAACTTGTACTGATTGACAAGGTTTGAGGAATGAAAATGTTCTGGAACCTTGAAAATAAATTAGTGTAATATCAAATAAAAGATTGTTGTACCAAGAAGAAAGGTGAGTGAGTCATTACTATTGATCTGAAGTAAAATAGTATTGCATTCAATCCCTTACAATCGATCAATAATTAATCTCCTAACCTGATGAACACATTGCGAACTGATGGATAAAATTCTGTCAGCATTAGGAGCCAGAAGATGCGAAATTATTTCTTTTCTAGTGTTCAATTAATCTATAAGTTGTATTCGTATGAATCCCAAAGTTTGAAATGAAATGAATCCGAATTTTTACCTGGAAATTTGGTTCATACACCTCATTCAAAAATGATCAAAGCATTAAAGATATATGAATAAAGTCAAAATTCTGCCACCAATCTTCTAATACAATCTTTGGTGTACAATCGTTGTTGTTTACTACAATCATTTACCAGAAGAAGCGTAAAATAAACTTCTAGATCAAATGTTGGTATCATTTTATTTCAAACTGGCAGAGTTGCTTGCGAGTCTAGTGTTAATCTGATGTCAACTTTTTATCCAATGATCAATGCATGAGAAATTATTTGAACACATTTCTACTTAATTTCATATAAAATTACTGGTCAATCAGTGTTTGAGAGGATTTTTCCCATGTTGTTCATTTGAACCATTTCATACGTACATTGGTTACTGAAAATTATCCAGTTTCATACTGTCTAGTCCTGAGTGCTCATAGAACTCCATCAATCAATTTTTAATGTCACCACACCTTGTCGACGAGTGCTGACAAGCACAAAACTTAGATCTAACAGATCTCATCTATTGACCTAATCCGACTGAAGTCCTTATTATGGCCCTTAACCATGATGTATACTATATGTTTCATTTTTCTATCAAAATTCTAAATAGTTTTATACGAATCCCAAAGGCTGGCAATTCACAGTGTAACGTTGAATTCCATAGAGCAATTCATAGAAACTGGTTTTAGCGACCCATAAACTTACTTGTTTATCAAAAAAAACATTTACACTGTTAGTAGAAAATATTGGACTAAATATCAAATTTCATAGAATACCAGATAGTTATCATGTATGAATGAAATAAATTCTCATCAGTAACTCACCTAAACCATATACTATCAGACTTAAGATTGTTAGGTATCTACTGTAACCAATGTTCAACACTTGCTTGAGATCTTTTTCAAAACGCTTCTTTCGAAATATTCCAAAAACTAATGCATTCCCATAGTTCTGACAAGAATTATATGATTTTCTTTGAGGTGATTCTAGATCTGGTACAGTTGGCTGATCGTCAATCTGATCATCACTCTCTTGATCAGACATTTTGTTTCAGTGATAGACTACTCAAATGATCAAACGATACAAAATACTTTATTTGAATTAAAGTGAGTGATTAAATATTGCGCCCTTAAGGTATTTCACACAGTCGAATCACATATTAAACTCAGTAAGAACAATAATCTACTTTCTGATTGGTTAGATGGTTAGTGCATTCATATAAGCTGAAATGATACATGTCTAATTGTGAAACAGATCATCGGAATGTATGTTTAACGTAAGAAAAAACAAATAAATTCATTCCCTGGTTAAAAAGAATCAGAAACTTTTGACTGAAAAAAGTTATTTCAACTAGTAAAGGTGCGAAAGTTTACTTTATCATGTATGAGCTTGCTGCATTAAATATTCGCTCCCCAAACGACTGAAGCTGGTTAATTAGGGATGAATAAAGATGTTTAAAGCAGTATAACATCTATGTTCATAATAGGCAGTTGAAGGATAAGTAAGTCTGAGCGAAATAAGATTACACATTACTGAAATGATACAAGTTAGTCACACTTTCAAGTATAGTTATAATCTAAAGAGAGCAGTTGCGTTAGTTGTTTTTAAGCAAATTCATTCAAAAACGCGGATAAAATAGGTGGTCATTCATGATGTCATGTTAAGCATCATTATTCATTTTCATTTCCCATTCAATCTAAGGAATGAACACTAAAAAATAGGTCCCTTAATGCTGCATTATAGTTGAGGTTGAACCAAGTCATCGCCTTTAGTGGGTATGCCATCAAACAATCATGAATTCACGGTCACCACCACAAAACTCGTATTCCCTGTCTCTATATGATAAGAAAACATTGATAAAAGTGAAAGTGAGAAAGCTAATGTCTGGTGCTTTTCAACGGACTGTTAGTTATGGAGGTTCAACCTAATAAACTTGGAAAATTTTGAATCCAAATTAATGGTACATATGCAAATGAAGATAAAGAGAACAAATAGTGTATGAACTTATTAAGACGACGCAGATAACAATTATCAATCAAAGCCAGTTGTACAAAAGTTAAAAGTTATGGTTCACCAGGATAACTTAAACAAATATAGTGCCTTTGAAATGATAGTTAGAATTCGATGGAAGGTTTAGTCCTATTTCATGGTGTGCGTTGGTAGTTTTAGTTACTCATGGCGAAAGACATTCAAAGATTGTGTTGAAATACCATTAAGCGAGCTGCATAGCGGGTACTACAGTGTAAATCACTAGTTATTAATCATAATTTGTTGAATTCATAAAAGATTGCACTCATGGGATGAAGATAACACGAACACAAATAAGGAAGGTCAGCGGATTTTAACATTAAAAGAAGACAAGATCAGAATAAATAATATAAAGATGTGCTAATCAACAGTCACTCATACTAATATCCAGAATTCATTTGAAAAAGTAAAATAAGCCCTCGGTAACCATCATAGTTCTTATGAATCTCCAAACCTTTAAAAAATACTTTCTTTTCCTTTGAGCTTCCCCTTTCTTTTCTAACCAACAATTTATTCATGAATGCGTCAAGGATAAGTTGTTGCTTTGGGTCACCTCAATATGTGTCTATAAGTTAACCCATTTTTGTGGTACTAGGCACACTGATTGTACAAAGTGCGCTCTTTGATTGGTCACTGGAGGGCAACCAACTTCATGATGTCTAGTCCTAAGTGATGGTTGAATTTTATCGACCATTTAGCAATGTGGTAATTAGGCTAGCTGACTCAGCATCGAGATGCACTTTGATAGATGTAGTTGGCTGGAGGCAGTTTGCAGGAAGTCCTTGACCTAAATATTTTACTTTTTAGCAGTCGTTACCAAGGCATATCTGCAACCTCTACAGAAACGATGTCTCGCCTGAGATTCGAACCCCCGTTACTCCAGGCCTGAGCTTAGGATTATCAATACTATTATTATTATCTGTCCTTTAGGTTCCTAGTGGAACTTAGGGTTTCAATAGCTCGCCTTCAGTGCACTCTCTTCTCTGCAGTCTTTTCAACCTGGCACCACGACTGCCCACAAGCTCTCATTTCTCCAAACCATCTCTTCCATATCACCCTCACCTTGGACGCCCAACTAGTAGGTTCCCATTTGGATTCGACTCGACGGCCTGGCCTGGCGCGTGGTGTCTCCAGTCGGCCTTCTCATTGCATGCTCAATCCACCTCCACTTTCTTCTGCATATTTGTTGGGTAAAAGGTTCTTGGTTGGTTCGTTGCCAGCCAGCCAGCCAAAGTTCCTGGTTGCTTACTCTTTCTGGTCATCTGATCTTCACTATCGAGCGTAGGCAGTTGTTGATGAAATGTCTGTAGTTCGTTGGGAGTGCTTTCTGTGACGAGCCAAGTCTCTCAACCATCACAAAGAAGCACTAACTTACTTGACTGAATTAGTGTTGAAAATCCGGATCTTGTCAACTCTTCATGCTGATTGCAGTGCAGCAGATCTCCACACTGATTTCAAATTAATGCAGGAAGGCCTGTCTCACCGTCTTTCCGATCCTGGCTGCTTTGACGTCCTCATCTGTGCCGCCTGTAGTTGAGACGATGGTGCCTAGGTAGGTGAAAGAGACCACTTCTTTTAGGTTTTTCCCGTTAATGGTGATTGGTGCTTGTTGTTGTTGGTTAGGTATCTTCATCAACTCTGTCTTCTTGATGTTCACTTAAAGTTCTGTCTTCCTTCACTGTCTCTTCTGTCAACCTGTTGGTTTTCGCCTGTAGATCTTCGAGTTTGTGCGACAAGACATCAAACATCAGTCATCATCGGCAGCGAAATCCAAAACTTCTAGAGCCTTTTAATTAGTCCAGCCCGCATATGCCCATCTTTGTGCTCCTCTCAGTTTGTTGCATGATCCAGTCGACCACAATCAGGAATATGATCGGTGATAGTAGGCGGCAGCCTTGTCTTACTCCTGTCTTCACTGTACTTCAAAGTCATCACTGAGCTTGTCACAGTGAATCACTCGGCATGTAGCATCATGTAGTACATAGCTGTTGAATGAGGTTGTTAAAGGTTTGTGGCACTGAAGCCCTAGTGTTGAAGCAGTTGCCAAACTACTTCTTGGTCGATGCTGTGGAAGGCTTTTTCAAAATCAGTGAATTTGAGGTAGAGAGTTGACTGCCATTCTATACTCTATTCTATGGTGATGCGGGGATCAGCGTTGCAATTTGATGCGCACATAATTTGTTTTTCCTGAAGCCATCCAGTCAGCCCATTCTAGTCGTAATTTTGAATACAGAGCATTTTATAGACTCACCAAGATGATGCGGCATATTATTTTGCTTGGGGTGGACAGCAGCATGATTTCGCGCCAGTTTTCGTTTATGCAAAGACTTAGGTCGACCTTCTTCGGAATTTTGACTAGGTAGCCCTTCTTTCAGTCGGAAAGTACCTTTCCTGCCTTCCAAACCCTCTGCAGTAGTGGTGTGAGCATGTCCGCTGTTGTCTCTGCGTCTGTTTTCAGTGCTTCTCTAGGAATTCCATCTGGTCCTACTGCTTTTCCGAATTTCAGCAACTTTTTAGCGCTCAGGACTTGACTTCTGCTCTTGTTAGAGGGTTTGTTTTCACTGATACCTCTGCGGCTGGGCTGCTGGTGGTATTTCTGGACGAGTCGCAGTTGGTGGTGGTGGTCGATTCAAGAGTTTTTTAAGTGGTCAGCCCATTGTTTCCTTTGTTTCTCCCCTTTGATAACTAGCTTTCCTTCACTATCTTTCATTGGTTTCGCCTGCGTTGACCTCTTCCAGGATAGTAACCCGGTTATTTGATATAGTGTTGTCAGCTCTCTCTCCTACCAGCAGTCTGTTCTGCTTCGCTTTCCAGTTTTTCGTAGAAGTGTCTATTGTCTTTGCGTGCACTCTTCTTCACTTATTTGTCCAGTGTAGTGTTTTATAGGTTGTATTCAGTTCCTCTTTTTGTTGTTCATCCCGGCACTGCACTGGACTGTTTCATCTTCCGCTTCGCCATCACCATCACCATCTTCCTCTCCCTTCTCTACCAGCTTCCATGTGTCCGTGTAGATCCATTCCTTGTCTTGTTTCTTTTTCTTCTTCTTCCTTCCTAGCATGGTTGTGTAGGTTTCCTTCCATGTCTTTTTCAAAGAGTTGAAGTGTTCTTGCTTGGAGTTATCCTCGGGGATGTTGCCTAATGTCTCCCATTTTTTACTGATGACTGACTGGCTGACGTGAAGATGTCCTTTATGGTTTCGTTTTTCAGTGCAGTTTCTGTTCTGGGTGTTGAACTTGAACTGTGGTCTATCACCAAGTTCTGTGAAGGGTTTCAACTCGGTTTTGAAGGTAGGTTCCTTGCACTAGATGGTGAGTGGTGTGAACCTACATCTGGTCCCCTTCTTCATCTTGTGTCCAGTAGGCTGAACCCCCACTTTCTTCAGATTGAGATGAAGCCTATTTGATTTTTAGTGTGTCCTGATGCCTGGTGAAATCTATGTCGCTTTGTGAATATCCTTGTGTTTGTACACACACAATCATCAAACCATTAAAGGTGGGGAAGTCTGCAAACAGTTCTCCGTTCTCACTCATCATTTCATCGAGTGCTTCTCGACCCATGATGAGTTCTCTTCCTGTGTTGTCCGCTCCCAGTTTGGCATACATGTCACCCGTTATAATGAATTTCGATGTCGCCAACTGGGGTGGGTTCTTGTACAGTACTGACTGCAGTTTTCTGTAGAATTCCTCCTTCTTCTCTTCATCTACATTATTTGTTGGCAAGTAGCGTTGAGTGTTGGAACTTTCCTTCATTTTGAGTTGAACCTTGCTGTCATCATCCTGGAGGAGATCGGTTCCCACTGCATGTGAGAGAGCCTTCAACGCTGTTGGAGACATCATGATGGCCACTTGAAAACTCAGTGTGTTTGTGGTTGCCGTCTGGATGACAATATCGGAGTAGGTTATTGACTCTTCGGTTAAGAGTTTGGAAAGTCCACTTCCATTCCATCTACTTTCACAGATTCCTAACACTTCTATGCTATATCTCGTCATCTCTTTGGCAATCTGGGAAGCCTCGCTAGGTTCACACATTGTTCTGACATTCTATGTCCCAATGTTTACTTTTGCTTTCATCGAGAGAAGACACATTGGCCAATTGGCTTCCCAAAGGCTTTCACCAACCGGCGTCATTTCGTCTCTCCGATTCCAGAGAGGAATAAGTTTATTTTTATTTTTTATCTTTTCTTCGTGCTTTGAAGTTTTTTTGGCGACTGGATTTGTTTTAGGGGCAGGATTATTAGACCCATGCCCAACCTTCCCTCTTTATCTGGGCTTAGGAAAC